GATGGCATAAATAGTATGTTTCTATATATAAAAAAAATCTATAGTGACTCACTCCCTTTTAAATAAAAATCTCCTTTTGCTATTTCAGTGAATTGAATGACTGACTCTGGGCACTTCTCTTTTTGTGCTCTAGGGTGAGCCTATTTATCTTCCCAGAAAACTGCTAGATCTGTTAGAATGAGCTCTATTCTTTCCTTAGGGGCTCAGAGAAAAAAATTGATTCTCTCTCTATGAGAAGAGGCGGGAATTGGCTCTTTCTGGCCCCCCTTCTACTGAAGATATGAACTACTCTTCAAGTCCCCAGAAACATGTCTTCTTCTTTGACTATAATGATGTTTTCTACAGTGGTTCCCCTGTAGTATCCATTCTCCAGAATGTTAAGAAAGTTACTTGAACAAAATATCCTGCATTCAATCAGCTTGGGAAAAGATTGAAAAGAATTAACAAATGAACGATTGGTTTCTACACAACAAAACCTCTCAGTGTTTATCTCCAGTAAAAGAATAGAGTAGTCAGAGCTTTTGCAAACTTGTTTGACCAGATAACTTTTCTTCATGGAGCAACTTGTGAGACTGTGTTCTGGAAGATGTTCAGCTCTAATGCAAAAAAGCTAAGGACTGAGTTTAAAACTGCTCTGTAACTTCCTAGTCATGAGACTATGGGCAAGAGTTCTAGCCACGCTGGGCGTCCAACTCCTCATTTGAAAAATGTAAACAATTAGTGCTTCTACTTACAATATTTTGTGACCACTAGATAATTCTATTACTATTACTGTTATCATTGATACTACCAGGTACCATCGCTTTCCATGGTAGACACTACTCGCTGGCTTATGCAACAAGCACTTGACACCTCCTTCTCTCTTTCAGTTTCTACTGTGGAAGATGTAAAATCTAAATGTGTATTTTCATACACTCTCAAAGCTAAGGACAGCTATATGAAACAGTTTTGGCCAATGTGACGTTAAGGCCATTCTACGGGACTCTGAGAAGACTATTGTTATCACTAATAAAAGGGTGCAATGCATGGAACTATGGGGCAATCATTAATTAAAGGCCTAGAGAAGAACAGGGATGTTGGCTCTGGAGTCATCGAGCCTTGGAGAACATCAGAAAGAGTCTAGCTGCATATTTCTTGTAACATGAGGAAAATGAAACCCAAACAAGTCAGCTAAGTCTCCAGAGGTAAGGCTTTCTCTCCCCCTCAGCTAAACACATTTCTAAGAGGTTTATCTACCATTTATTGAGTGCTTTCTGTGTACTGATATAAGCATTTAACATGTATCACTTCATTTACTCCTCACAACAGGAATTATCTTCCATTTCATAGTTGAAGAACTAGATTCAAGTATCTTGTTCAAATTCATACACTGGATTTGAATTCAGACATGGCTCTGCAGCCAGAAACATAAACTAATGTGCTACGTGCATCTACTGTCATTATGTACACTGTGCCATGAGTGTGTATTAACTTTTGGAAATATAGTCACTATAACCTTGGGAAGTATTACATATTTTTTACTTGAAAGTATGCAATTAGTGTCCTCTCTTAGGAGCCCTTACAGTCTGCCATAAGATGTCAAAGGTACTGCATAGGCCTTTCTGGAAACAGGGCCCAGGCCTAGTCTGGGTTCAGAGCAGCCTGCTTCTCTACACACCAGATGGAAGACACCAGAACGAGGCTGGGTCCAGCATAGAAGCTGCTTCTCCCCAAGGACTTACATCAGAAATTTATCTATTTAAACCTATCCTATATCCCAACAGATGGGCTCACTGACATATTACAGAACTCAAGCCTTAGAAGCCCCACTAATGAAGGAATTTAGAATAAAATGTGAAAATATTAGAAGCACCCAGGCTTACCTGTTAAGCATCAGTGTAACAGGTAATGGGATACATGCTGGAATTTATAAACTATAAACTAAAAGGGGAGATAAACCCATATATAACCAGTTATATCTTACCATGTAATAAAAACTATATTAATGTTCTGAATATCTTGATTAGGGATCAAAGAGAAGAAATACTTAGTTACTTAGTTTGAGAGTTCATGGGAGACAAAGAGGAGAGGAATTTTAATTTGGATCTAATTTCTTAGGATTATAGCTTAAAGAGGGGGTAGGTATGAGGTGTATGTGATACAAGGGTATTATACCTTTCTCTGGCCTTTCTTCTGCATATCAAAAGCAGGCTTCAGCCTGAAACTTCTGGTTAATGGCAACAAAGAAACCATTATATAATCAGACTACAGCCTGTCTCAGCTATAATCACATAGATGGACCAGCATTTGCCAAGACAGCATTCAGAAAATCCAGCAATTGCCAAAGGTCCCTCCTTACCCTCTTTGATATTCTAGCACACAAATATGTTGACTGCAAAATCCAATCATTAAGAACTACATCGCCCGGTAGGGAAAATAAATTAAAATAATGCCAAAGATTTTGAGAATTCCTGTTTTCCATTGGCAGTACCAGTAAATTCTCTTGTTTATTTTGCCCCTTTATTTAGTATAGTAGGAATGAAATATTTGAAAATAGTAATCCAATGTTACTAGAAGAATGCTAAAATTATCAAAAACATGAGATCATTGGTTGGGATTAATGACTTGATTCTTGAACAGAAACTGATAACCCCTGGAGTGAAGGGCATATCTGCAATATAAAACACTGCCAGCTTAATCTTACAAAAGTTCGAACCACTGGGGTAGTAGTACACACACCAGACAAGGAAAAAGTACCTACCACATTACTACCTTCTTAAATCCACTCACTCAACAAACATATTAACAAATGATTATGGCAGGTCTTCTATGTTCCAAGCACCCTTCTCGGTACTTCCATGCACTGGAGGCTCAGTGGTGAACAGGGTAGAGAAGGCAGGTCCCCACTCTTAGGGCGCTTACACTGCTTGAATTGGGACCACAGGCATGCTCTACAGTCTAGGAGCTGGACAATGTAAAAGTGGAGATGCTTTGGAAAATCCAGGCTGTATAATCAATGTGTCTGTACGTCTGTATTGCCTCTTCTGATGCTCTCTTTGTTATTAAGATCTTCCTGGCTCCACATCTGACACAGGGACTTTCAGGTGTGGAAGCAGACTGATAATCATTAACTTAGTTAATAAGAATAGCATACACTTGGGAAGTGCTTACTAAGGCACACAATTTACTTGTTTTTACTCGTTTAGGTTCACGACCACTGTATGAAGTATGTATTTCATTTCATTATCTCCATCAGAGGAGGAAACTGAGGCATAGAGAGGTTAAATGATTTGCCTATGGTTACAGAGTGGTAAGTGATGCTACCAGCGTTAAATCCCAGTGGTGCCAAGTTCTGCACTCTGCTACCTTCTAAGTATCTACTATGCCTGTGGCCATTACACATATTACTTCTTTCACTCTTTACAGTCCTATGACGTAGATAATATGTGTCAATTTGGAAGATAAAGAAACTAAGGCTCAGAGAGAAGAAATGGCAGTGCCAGCGTTCAGACTCAACAGAACCTGGCTCCAAAGTCAGCGCTCTTCCCCACTGCCCCATGTTGTCTCCCTAAGGAGCCTGCCTTAGGAAGCTTTGAGGGTGCTTTGGCACATACTCCCAAGTCTGTCTCCCCAGCCACCCGTTTATCAGGATGCCCTGGAAGATTTTATTTGAAGCAAAAGTTTAAAGAAAGGCTGATAAAATAAAAGTTCAAAAAATAATTTTTGTTAGACAAAATAAAAGGCTGATGGTGCGGAAGTTTCAAATAACAGATGTTTTAGAGAGGAGTCAGGAAGGCAGATGGAAAATATGCCAGTAGGTTAGACAGATGGGTGGCCTTCTGTGTATAGACTATGACACTGCCAGGATTTATCGGAGAAGTAGAAGACATGGTATTTTCGCTAAGGTTTACAGTTTAGCTGAATACGTTGCGCATTGTACACAGGAAGAGATGAGAGGCATACAGGAATTAGAAAAGAATTGAAAGAGGTGAGGATACAAGTTGATAATACAAATGAATTGGGCCACATGGATAAACACCAAGTGCCTTGTGAGTCTTATTCAATCTCAGCAACACAGTATCTTTACCATCACTGTAATTCAGGTTTTAAAGAATTAGTGCTGATAGAAAAGTACGAGTTTTCATGCAGGCTCAATGAAGGTATAAGAGAATTGTTCAAGCAATATTGTTTAGCTATTATCTTTCATTTAGAAAATGTTTATCTTTCATTTACTTATCTACATTTTAGGAAAATTGTTAGATCTCTGTAGAATTAGCAGATGAAGTTCTGACTAGTTTCTTAAATAGAGCAGATCCTTATTCCCAGCAGCAATCTAGGTAGCCTTTATAATCCCACCAAATTTACTCCCAAGCCAGTGATAAGATGATTTCACTGACTTCTGAAGTTCCTTAGGGGGCGTTTATCATATAAGGAAGTCCCTCCCATTTGGGAAAATCACTGGGGTCAGATTCTTTTCAGATGGCAACTATCCAATAACTACTACCTGTGATACTGGATTTGGGGGATAGGATGGGACTGTGGGTGAGAGAGAAAGAGGGAAATCGGCTGGTTAGAAAGGAAGATTACATACAAAGTCAATTTGTTGTTTTGCTCTTTTCAGTGACTTAGACATTTCCCAAAGAGTTCAAGCTGCCCATTAAGAACTAAAATCTAACCTCTACATTCTTGTGCCTCTGCGGGATGGGCAGTCTCGGGCTCTTCTGGGCTTAAAAAAGGTTCAGGCACATTCAAGTACAGTCAGACGTGTAAGGCTCTTGGCGTTCTACTCTTGGCACAATCTTCATTAATAATGGTGTTCTCTACTCTGTTCTGGTGAACTAGAGTTTAGTTCATAATATTTCTCTGTCCCCTAGAGCTGACTGCACATGAATGTGCCTTTTCCAGCACCCGCCTCCCACAGTTTTATTCACTCAGATATTCCCCATTTAAAAGACCCAGGAAGCAAATGCTACTGCTTTAGCTGTAGGGGCCACTGCCCCAGATACCCCCACACGTTTTACCTTAGGGTTTCCCCAGAGGAGCCCCTCCTCTTCCACAGGTTGACGAGGCTGCTGGATCTGCTGGCTGCTGAGGATGACTTGCCATCCCCCACGTGCATGCGTACCACGGTAGATGTGGTGAAGGCGCTGCGCACATTTCTTTCCGGTTTGGCCAGGATGATGTACACTTTCGGCACAAACATACAGCCTAGAGCCACTGTAGCACTGAGGCTGACTGAGAAACACATGGTGATGATTTTGTAGTTGCTGCCAAAGTAGATTGGCACAAAGGCCAGCCATATAATGCAGGTGGTGTACATCGTGAAGGCAATATACTTGGCCTCGTTGAAGTTAGCTGGAACATTTCTGGTCTTGAAAGCATAGAAGGTACAGCTCAAAATTAGCAGTCCATTATATCCAAGAGGAGTGACAACCCCTAGATTGGTGGTATTGCAAATCAGGTAGACTTCTCGAATGCTTGGGTAGTCGTGCATTATATCCGGAGGCTCCATTATGAAGAGGGCAACAATGATGCCCAACTGGATGCATATGAGAATGAAAGCAATCACTAGCTGGGCACAGGCACTCATGAATCTGGGCTTTTTGGTACAGATCTTCTTCTTGCTGCCAGCCAGGATCCTTGCAATACGATTGGTCTTGGTTACAAGGGCTGAGTAGCTCATGGCTGGTGAGAGACCAATGCCAATTCTCTGAAGGTAGCAATAAATCTGTTTGGGCTTTGCAATGAGGCAGAAGGTACATAAGTAGCCCAGGCAGATGCCAGCAAGAATAATGTAGCAGAGTTCTCTGCTGGAGGACTTGACTACCGGTGTATCACGGTAAATGATGAAGACTGCAGTAACAAACAGGGTGGCCAGCAGGCCAAGGCAGGCAAACACCACAGCTGCAATGGGCTCAGGGTCCCCCCAGCGAAGATACTGCACTGGGATCAAATCACAACCTGCAGACACAGATACGTATTGAAAAAGAAAAAACAGGTTTACTTGGGTCACTTGTGCCTAAGTTTACAAGCAGCTGCCTATGACCCTTTGACTTTGTCTCCAATCTGCCTAATCTGAGTATTCGATACTACTCCTTTCTTCATATATTCATTCATAAAACATGCATCCTTATATTATCAAATATATCCTCTGTAGCAGGAACTGTTGTAGGTCCTGAAAACAAAATTACGAGAACACATTCTCTGCCCTCATACAAAATAATCAGGGAGGAAGGGATTTTAAAGAATTACTTCCACTGTGATAAGGGCCATGAAGAAGTATAGCCTGGGTCCTGACATGGTCTGTGGGAGCAATGAAGTCCTCCTTCAATAGGAGTTAGCAACTGAAAGTGTTGGTCTGGCTGAGTTCAAGGATTCAGGAAGTTTGGCAAGCAGAGATTAATTGCAAGGAAAGAGCTAGGGAGCACTGGAGGCATGGAAGGATGTCACTGTCCAGCAGTGTGATGAGTGGTCTAAGATAAGGCTGGGAGGTAGGCAGGAGGGGACCTTGCAAGGCTGCAAGTCCTAGATGAATAGGAGGTTATTGGAGGGATCTACGTAGAATAGAGGATTGACATGGTCAGGTGTGTGTGTGTGTGTGTGTGTGTGTGTGTGTGTGTGTGTGTGTTTTATACATTCCTTTGGTTGCTGTGTGAATTTTGGGTGAGATAGAGGCATAGACAGATTTGTGAAGCAATATCGAGTGTTTAAATGGATATCGGGGTGTGTGAGAGGTAAAGTCATCAAAGATGACTGGCACTGAGTCCATCTCTGCTTCCTTGAATCCACTGTATAGAAAAGTTAGGATTTACACAGAAGTGTATGATTCTAATGCTAGGGAAAAGATGCTGTTAAAAATAAATAAACAAACAAATGAATGAACAAAAAATAAACAAACAAACAAACAAGAAGGGGTAGCAAAGGAAACTGACCTTAAATATGAACAGTTGGCCTATGTGGGAAATGCCAACACTCCTAAAATTATTCTTGGGATAATACTAGGAATAAACACACAGTTTGTAGTTTTTTAAATCACTTGATCTCACAACAGAAAATAGTGACAAAAGTTGCCATCATTTGGGTTATGTGCCTCCTTTTTAAATTTCTTTAGGACCGTGGTTATCAAACTTGACTGCACACTGGAATCACCTAGAAATACTTTAAAAAATACTGTGGCCTGTGTCTTACTACTTAACTTCTGATATAACTGGCCTGGGCATCAGGATTTTTAAAGGTGCTGTACTTTCAAATGTGTAGCTGAGAACCACTGCTCTAGAAGGATCATTCCTGCCAATTAGATTTTTTAAAACATGGAGTTGAGAAAGCTTTATTGGGTGAGTAGGAAAGGATTTAAGGAATCAAGAGCCTTGGATATTTGAAGAATATGGCAGAGATTTGCCTGCAAATACCCATTCTGCCCTTTTTCTGCATGCAGATCTCCAGTTTCACTTGGGACGGTAAATGATACAGCTAAAATGTTACATTTTCCAGCACCTTGCAGTAGGTTGTGCCATGGGACTAGGTTTTGGCCAGAAAGTTATAAGTACAGAACTCCTGAAGGAAAAAAAATGACTTCTCTTGGCAAATACCCTACATACCTTTCCCTGCTTTCTGTGGCCTGGAATATAAACATGATGCATAGAGCTCCAGCAGTTATTTTGGACCATAAGGTAACTTTAAGGACAGAAAACATGTTCTGGGATTTGGAAGAGAAAAAGAGAGGAAGTCTGACTCTCTGTTCCCCATGGAACCAATGACTAGCTCTGGATTATATACATCACATTTACTTTTCTTAAGCTATTTTTTTCCTGCATATGTAGCTAAACCAAATCCTAACTGATTCCGGTGTAAGGTTCTCCTATTAACTTTCCATATCCTGTGATCAAGGGTGTTGTAGTATGTGGCTCTGAATATTAAACGGTAACTGGAAGGTAAGGGAGGCATCAGCAATGATAGCAGAGAAGCATGTAGTCCTTTCAAAATATGTCTAAGGGCAGCTCTGTTGTAAAAAGTAAAGAAAGCATTCTTTCTTCTTTCTCTTATTTCTGCCTTGCCAGTCTCTTTCCTCAAAATCTCAGGTTTCAAGTAGTACCATTAGTATTATCATTAAATTAATTAAGGGTTTAATAGGATTTGTGAATTAGCCTAGGCTCCTTGGCACACTTAAAAAAATTGTTCCAGTGGGAAAATGTATCTTGATTTTAAAAACCTGTGCATTTAATATTGAAACAATGTGTTTTTAACTTAAAAAGTGTATGTGGATAGCACGGACTATACATAAGACAGTTATTTTACACAGTGTCATTAAATATAAATACAAGCATATTTCATTACCAATGAATATACCTGTATCTGTATTTTTAGGCATCTGTGTTTATATATGCTGTATATATGTTGGAATTCAACCTCTGAGACTTCACTATACTATAGGGTTTAGGTTCATATTTACAAATCTGTTCCTTGTAGAAACTATTTTGCAACAGGAAAAATAGGGATTAATCATTCTTATCTTTATTCTTTCATAACAGTTTATTTATAACACCATTAAGACAGTGAAATTTGTTATCTATTATAGTTAATTTAATAGGGACCTGTTTCCCATGGTAAGTTATGAGATACAATTGTCCATAGCAACTGACTGATATAGGATACAGGTTATATAACACATGAAGCAGAAAACCTTTCATTAGTCAAAGAGAATTAACTGAAAAAAAAAAGGTAACTTACTTTAAGGGCTTTCATTTTACTCTTGTTTTGGCTGTTCTGCTAAATCTTAGTTGTTTCTGTCTAAATGCAATTAGCGCCCTATTACTAAATGCTTTGCATATGATAACATTTACCACTATTTTTATGCCAAAAATACTCTTTAACTCTTCCTGTGCAACCCATTAATATGTGTGAAACTAAAGAAAACTCCATTAAATATATGGGTTGGAAAAAATGTACATAAGGCTTGCCTCTAATGTGATGATTATTTTCACAAATTTACCAGAATTTGTATGTTCAAATGAATGTTCTTCATTTAATGTGAACCACTTAGAATTAATGACGCTGCCATTGTACTGAATATTTTTGTGATGATTCTCTTAGAACAACAGATTGGATTCAAGCTATAATCACTTAGTCTTATAACTGGATAAGATCTTGGTGTTTCCCAAAACAGATGTGCATCACAATCATTTGGAGTGCCTACAGAAGTATAATTTAAAGGTCTAACACAAGGATATTTTTTGTATCAATACATTTGGGGTGGGTTAAAGGAATATCACTTTGAATAAGCAAACAGTGACTATACAACTGAATCATTGGTACATGGTTGGCCTTCCAGCCTTAGAGATCATCTCAGGCTGACTTCTCATCTAGTGTGCGAAAGTCTTATATGATAATCCCAAGGTAGGGTTAGGGTGATCATGAATTAGATTGTCTCAGGGCCAGGACTAGTGGTGGGGGAAGACAGACTGGAAAGGCAGGAGGTCATGATGGCAGATAGAGAGAGAGTTGAGGTGAATATACTGGTCAAAAGGCTATCACAGGAAGGCAGTGAAGGGTTGACAGGCAAAATCTAAAAAAGTCATTGTACTGAAGAAAACATTGAGTTGATAAAGACATTTCAGAGCTAGGATTGAAAGAAACTTTGAAGTAGACAGACAGAAGAAGCAGGAGAGAGGCTTCTAACCAAGTTGATGGCAATGTGCTTAACTAACTTGAGGGTTATAGGGAGAAAAGGTCACATTCATGGGAGTGATATCCAGTTCCAATTTGGATATGTGTTTGAAGAGTCTATGACCCACTGGGCAGATAGAAGCAGAAGCTTAGAAAAGAGATCAAGGTGGAAGTTACAGCTTTAGAAACCATCTGTTTACAGGTAGAAATAAGAGACATGGAAATAAATGTAATAAACAAGGAAATTCATAGATACAGATGAGACCAGAACCTAGAAGTCTGGTGTAAAACTAACATTAAGAAATAGCAGAAGAAGAGGATATAAGATAGATCCAGAAGAAAGTGTATCAGCAACCAAAAGAAAGTGGTTAATTGGGTGGCCTAGATTCCCTTCTCCAACGGCATCACCTCAGTTCTTCTTCTTAAAAATCCTTACCTGCCAAAGACCCTGTACAAAGCTTTGAGCTTTAGGTTTACAGATGTCTCTCCTGCTGGTCTATCATTCTTTTATATTTTACCCCTTTACTACTATTAGATCTATTTTCTTTGAGCAGAATTTAATGTCTTTCCACTGTTGTTTTCCCATCATGGACTATGTTCTACCAAATCTCAGAATCATGTGATCATGCTAATCCTATTATGATTTAAATTTAAGTTATCATTGGTTACTACCCTTACTATGTACATCGGTTTACAAACATCTGAATGCACTGTTTATCTTCTTAAATCTCTTCTTTATTTTCTACTGTACATTACTGGGTGTTTCCTCCATTAATTTTGTTTAGATCTCTGTTTTATTCTTCGTGTAATGGTAAGTCATTGGTAGTAATCTTAGTGTACTGGTAAATTACTACATGGAAGGGTATGTACAGGTTAGCTAGGAATCTATAGTGTGTGTATATATATGTGTGTTTTATAGTTTTGTTATAGATTTAGTCTATTTAGCATATGCTTTTAGATTAAATAATACTGATCATGTCAGTGAAGTTACCTGCTAACAACCACAGTTCAGTTTCTCAGATGATGCACTAACATACATTGCTTTCTAGAAATGCAAATGAGCCATAGATTAGAAAACCAAGGGCTGTTTTCTGATAACATCTATTTAGGTAGCTATCTACTTGTTACTTGCTTTCCCTTTTATGCTTGGTCCATATGCTTTGGTTCTCTAGAATAATCCATTCTTTCATTGTTTGAAGTGATATATAATGGAAATACAGCAGTTTTTTTTAAAGGGAAAGTGAGCTGCCAAAACTGTATCATCCACATTCGTCGTATGACTCCACCAGAGCACTTCC